TCGGCTTATTTGCCATCATCAGTGCTCATTGTCCACAACGTATCCAACAAGTTCCTGGTCATCCTCACTCCCAAAATTATAAATTTCGGGATGTTTACAACTTGCTAAATCATAATTTTATTAGTATTAATATTTTCAAATTTAAATTTATCTCATTTTGGTTCAAGTTGTTTAACCGTTTCCACATGGCCAAAACAACTTGAACCAAAATGAGATAAATTTAAATTTGAAAATATTAATACTAATAAAATTATGATTTAGCAAGTTGTAAACATCCCGAAATTTATAATTTTGGGAGTGAGGATGACCAGGAACTTGTTGGATACGTTGTGGACAATGAGCACTGATGATGGCAAATAAGCCGAAAGCGCTTTGCATTAATAAAAAAGTTTTGCACGAAATACAAGTTTTTCCTTTTTGAATCTAAACTACGTGCACACAGCTGTCAACCTTTTTTGGTTTTTTTTTAACATTTATTTAATTCTACATTGACTAGATTACATGCATTTTTACTCATTTCTGCTGGAAGCTATAATAAATTTGAGTGTCGTCAGCGTATAAATGTGCATGACATGATTGAAGGTTAAACAATAGTTGAGAAGTATAAATGGAAAATAATAAAGGACCAAGTATAGAGCCCTGTGGTACTCCTGACTGAAGATTTAAGAAATCTGAGCTGCAATCCTCTATGCAGACTTTTTGTTGCCTACCATTTAAATGCCTACTCATTAGCTCTAGTGCGTTATGAGTGAATCCAATATACTTCAAAATACTTATCATTAAGTCGTGATTTATAGTATCAAACGCTCGGCTGAAATCTAATAATATCAGAATTGTACATTTTTTGTCATCGGTAGCAGTTATTATATCATCGGTAACGTGCAGAAAAGCTGTAGTGCAGCTGTATCCTTTACGAAAGCCAGATTGAACAGTGGGCAACAAAGAAAAGCGTTCAGTATATTCTTTTATTTGGACCTCAACAGCCCTCTCAAAAATGTTTGAAAGTGTTGGTAAAATACTGATTCCTCTTAGATTTTTCATTTCGGTCGGGCTTTGTTTTTTAGGTAATACCCTCACAATCGCTTTCCCCCACATTGCTGGAAAAACGTTTTCTGTCAAGCAAAAATTTATTATATGGGTAATGTAAGGCACAATGTGAGGACAGCAATGTCTAATAAGTTTTATGTTTATGTCGTCACATCCTCTTGCGTTTGTTTTAATTTCAGATATAACTTTATACACAAACAAACCATTTATTTCTATAAACTTTAAATTCTGATGAACTAATTTATTATTATTGTAAAATGCAAGTAAATTATCATCTGGTTTTTTATTAGATTTTAATTTATTAGATTTTAGTGTCTTCCACATTTCTTTGGAAGAAGTATTGTTAAATTGGTGAATAAAATATGCTTTCTTCTCTCTTTGAATAGCTTGATTAGTAAGGTTACGCATCTGTCTATAAAAATCTAAGTCTCGCTGTGATTTATATTTCTTAAATCTTGTTCGCGCTTTATTTCTTTCATGCATCATAATTTTAATGACATCTGTTAACCACGGTGCCTTTGCTTTAGTTACTCTAGATGTAACTAAAGGAATGTGTCTATCAAAAAGATCATTTAAACAGTTAACAAGGTATGATAATTTCTCATCTACATTTTCTTGGTCATAAATTCTAAAGAAGGAAATATTAAACAAATCTACCTGGAAAGAATCTTGGTTAAAATTTTTAAAGCTTCTATACGTCCGTAGTTTTGTTTCTTGTTGATTACCACTCACCTTTAATTTACAGTAAACAATAGAATGATCTGACATGTTATGGTGTATAATACCCTTTTCAACCTCAGTGTTTCTTTGAACTATAACATAATCTAATAGTGTCGCAGTTGTAGTTGTAACTCTAGTAGGAACATCAATTATTTGAGAAAGATTTAATGACTCTAATATTGAATGAAATTTTTTAACACAATTATTTTCATAGTCAAATAAATCCAAATTGAAATCACCCATACATATAATTTCATCTACAGTCGGCCCTATTTCAATTAAACTATTTTCAAATTCATCCAAAAAAGTATTAGTGTTTTGCGCATGTGGTTTATATATTATAACGATAGCAAATATTTTTTTCTGAATGGTAACCTTAATCCAATATTGTTCCCACATATGATCCTGCTTACTGTTAATAATCTCACAACGAATATTTTCTTTAACATACATACATAAACCTTTGCCCCTACTATTTCGGTCCGCACGGTATATATTGAATCTTTCAAATTTCACTTGATCATTGGGAGTACAATTATTTAACCATGTTTCGCATAACAAAATTATATCTAAGGAATTATCAACAACCACTTGTTTTAAATTTTGCAAAGAACCTATTTTTAATGTCATTTACCAAAACGAATTTCTTGTGTTCAAGACTGAAAATACAATAAAATGATAAAAATTTGACTCGTAGAAAAGACCATATGCACACAATGCTGCAATTTTAATCCAAAAAATATATCGTGGGCATAATATAAAACAAAATATATCTAAGTAATAAACTACTAAATAGTAGAAAAATAGGCATTTTAAAACAAAAAAAAACTATTCAATAATAAAAACGAAACAAACAGGATTTACTTTACATTCTAGCTAGGTATTTATTTTTATTTTAGCAACATCCTCGAACGTGTTCAGTCTTGTAACATTTCGTTGGTTATTAAATTTGAGAAAGATTCTTCCGGAATTGGTCCATATCATACCTGACGTGCCAACTTTCTTTACTGCTTCACTAACAATCTTCAGCTGTTCTAATGTAAGATCTTCTCTAATAACAATATTGGTAGACTTTAACAGTTTTTTATTATTGTACACCATATTTTTATAATACAACGAGGAAAATCTAACCATGATTACTCTGCTTTTATTTATTTCTTTATTATTCAGTCTATAACAAAATTCTATGCTAGACTCCTTAACATTAAGTTTCATTTTAGTTTCAAAAATTTCCAAAATAGTATTTAGGAGATTTTCATTTGATGATGATTCAGGAACGCCATAGATTCTGATATTTTTATTTCTGGTAACCTTCTCTTGCCTTTTTTGATTATTAACTAACATTTTTATTGTTTCCTCTTGTTTTCGTAATTTATCGTTAATTCTTTGGTTTATACTTTCTAATTCACCTATTTTCTTATTAAATTTGTCTTCAATTACAGTGATTATTGTTCCCGTTAGATGATTAATAAAATCATCTGCGGTACACAGTTTGGTGACTAATCCTTTAATAAGTGATGCCCTTCCTATGGGCCCTTTTACGTTTCCGATCATTCTAAGTCCGAAAATGCAAAAAAATAGTGTTCGTCTTTTGAGTTTGACTTCCCCTAAATTTGAAACTATTATTTGAAAATGTAGTTTTAAAAAACCATTTGGCGATTATTTGGTCATTTTTATAAACCCTCCAACTTAGAAAGTTTTATTTTAACACGTTTTAAAATAAGATGACTAAATACCACTATGTCAAATTACCATATTATAAAAATACTTTTGAAAACTGCGTCTCCAATATAAACGCTTTCAAATTAATCATCACACAAATTCATATAGATGATTATAATTATTAATTTAATGGAATTTCATTATTCCATTAATATCCCCAAACGTTTTCCATCTTCGAAAAGTGATCATTTCACTGACAAATATGACGATCTGGTGAAATATTCACAGTTTCCATCTGTTAATTGAGAGTGCAAATATTTACACTAAAGAATATTATTCGGGATGTGCGAGAGCATTTTTTGCCAGACATGTTTACACGAGTATTTGCCGAAATTAATGGAACGAATAGGAACGAAAATTGAGAGCTTTATTAACGCTTTGAATAATACTCTTTAATACGCACTTGTATTAATATTAGCTTTTTCATATTTGATTTTCATCTCTGCCTTACCAAATTCAAAAATTTTCGAGACCATAGAACTTAGGACAGGGTATCCAAAGTCATACGCCCGTAGAGCGACTTATACTATATTTTGTCTTTAGCGTATAATAACTATATTACTTTTTGCAACACAGGCCGTAGAAGTATCCTATTATTTTACTAGTACAAAAATGAATTTTCATTATTGTACTAGTACAATAATAATGAGAAACGCTTGCATGGGGCGTTGTAATCGAGTAGGTAGGAACTGTCATTTTTAAACTTATTTAATTTGACGTTTGTCTGTTTTGAAAATTTTGTTGAAAAATGTCTCATGAATTGCAATGTACACCTCCGGAATTAGTAGAAATAGCTAATTTCAGTATTGAAACACTAATTCCAACGAAGTCGCGCAAAGTATATGATTTTTCATATGAAAAATTTTTAAAATGAACCAAAGAAAATAATGTTCAAAAGTATACGGAAAATTTTATGATTGCATTTGTCAAAAAAATACAAAAGTTCAACACTATTAATTTAATAGTCGCGTCAAAATAACATTTTACCTGCAACTTTTTGCGGAGAGATTCGATTGAGGTGCGGTTTTCTGCAAAATGTTCAGGAAACTATCTCTAACAAAAGGTATATCTAATCTCTGTACGCTCGCAAATTCCTAATTGTTTATTTAACAAATGAGGCATTTTTGTTAGAGTGTTGATGAATATAATATGGCAAATGTCACACACGGTTCAACGAAAATGTATGGAAAATGTTCTCTCGGGGGGTTTGGAGGTCTCTCTTCTTCACTTTGGTGTCAGATTTATTATTTATTGCTAAATTGTTGTAACTTGGCTAATTAACAAATGAAAAACTCAACCCCCGAAATCACTAGAGAAACGGAATTTTTTCCAGCATTTCTGGCTTGTTAAGGCGAACCATCGGCACAAGATGTTGTGTCACATCCTGATATAGCATGTAAGAATAAAATATTTTCTTCAACTACTGGTGAATGATCTAAACTTTTAGATGAATAAGTTGCACCGGGTGTTTTACCTTTTGGAGGCTTGATGTAAAATATATCTTTGTCATCGGGTGTTAATGCTACCAATATCACTAAAACATCTATGTCCTCCGCAACAATAGCTACTTTTGAATCGGATGCAGAGATGTTTGCTTCTGCTAGATACTATTAATGTATCCGCATAGTCATTGGATTGCTTGCATTTAAAATTATTCTCTTCTAAAATTTCGATTAACATTTTAATGAATCCTGATTTATTCTTTGGACTTGCCAGAAATAACTCTTGCGAGATTTCCAACAACATATCTTTCTGAAACTCATATTCAACACATCTTGTCTTAGCAGCTCTTCGATTTCATTCAGAAGATTTCGTAGTTCTTTTGTCATAATCATCAAATACGATTATAACGTTCTTGCCATAAGTTGCTCGCAAGTACGTGACACAAGCATACATTATATATGAAAAGGACTTTTTAGTTGTCGAAGAAACTTTGTGAAGAAGCATTCCACCATCAATAACAAGGATACAATCACTAAAGTTGAAATCATTATGCTTATTAAATAAAGAATACAGAGTAGATTTGGTATTTTTCCGCAATCCAGCCTCATCATAAATAGACATGGGCATGGGTGCCAGTTCATAGGTAAAGAATTGTTTAAAGTCCTTTTCTGAATGTTTGAAAACGCTTATTCTCTGGAAAATGAGCAGAGGCTCAATGGGAAGTACCCTATCCTTAATTTTAATTTTACTATAAGCCGTGGAAATGGGTAGAGTTTTGTTGTTTTTGGTCAATTCAGTTGTTATCATTTTTCCATGTAAACTTTTCAAAGTTTCAATACCTTTTTCAAATGCTTCTTGCGGTTGAATTGATTCATCGCCAATTACATTAGTTGAAATAGGTACTTAAGAGATCAGTTGTCTTCGGGAATGGAGAGTGAACTTTGAACCACTCGTGAAATTTTTGAGCATGTAAATTATCAGTATTAATTCTCGTTATAGTTGAACCTTTGTGTTGATGAGAATTAGAAAACGAAATGTTGCACAATTTTTCTATTCCTTGACATACACTATGACAAGCGATATATGCGCTCAACCATTGGATGACAACACTCTTTGATGCTCCTCTCACAAACCCATCACTCTTAAGACTCATTTCTTGATTAAGAGTCTGCTCAACGTTTGATCAGAAAAAATACCACTCAAAAATTTGTTTGTTCGCCGAACTCGTCTATGATACTTTCTAACGTCTTCATATCTTGGAGATAAATTTGTGCACTTTTAGCATAAGGAAAATGACCAGTCGAATAAAAGAACGGAATCATTTTTTTAAACTTTCCAAGTGACCTGACTGACTTTACTAATTTAAAATATCGCACCCATAATTTTGAAGTTGGATCATTGTGTTATAGTTGAGTGAGTGTCTCCTCGAAGAGCTCAGCTAAACTCTCCAAGGCAGGATCATCTTGTAATTCATACAGTTTCAAGGTTACATCAATGTTTTCAACTTCCAACTTTTTAAAAAACATGGTGTTATTTTCGATTATATCTTTAAATTTGGAACTCTTTTCTAACTCTTCGAAAACAATTTTTGCCAAGCTAGACTGCAGCATAATGTGAGCTCTCATGCCCCGGGGAAAATGGCCCCCCATTTAAGAGTAAATCGGCCGAATTCGGAGCATACAAGAACTTCTTTAATACCACTTCCGCTCATTATATAGCCAATTGACCCCATGAATGATAATAAAACATGAAATCCTCCTAAGCGAGCTATAACTTTTAGGTACATCCGGGTCAATTGTATCACCAAAATATTTTGACATTTCATGTAAAGAGGACAATCGAAAAGTTATGAAACAGGTTTTCATTCTTAAAAACTTAGCCTTTACAACAAGGCGCTTTATAGTCGTGAATATTGTTCTGTAATCACTAGGATTTCTATAAATAAAAGGTCCGAACATTATTTGTGAAGTTTCATAACTATATGAGTCAGGTAACCTCTCAATGAATCCGTTCCAGCCTAAAAAATCTACTGTGTTATGCTTTTCGAAAAGCCAAAGAACATTAAATTTTGTCACAATTGATGGTTTTAAACTAATTCTTCTGTTCCTTGTACGATACTCAACCTTTCCTAGTCCTTTGCCTGGAGTGACATTGTAGTCAAAAAATTTAATGTGGTTTGAATTCTTAACCTCAACCTCTGATGGCAGCGTCTGCAGACGTTCTATATTATCTATTTCTACCTTAAATCCTGGTGTAACAATTATTATGCAGCCTATGTAATGAAAAGTTGACCTTTCAGTTAAATTATTTATGTTATAATCACAATTATCAACCACAAATTGGACAAAAGGTCTGCCTGAAACACTTAAAGGCTTGTATGGAAAAGAGCTAATGCTTTGTATAATTGAGCTTCTCTGTACGAGTCACAATAAATAAAGTTATGCAACATTTCTATGAAAATTTTACATCCGAATTTCCTATGCATAAAAACTGATAGACCACCATGAAGAGAAAATAAAAATTATCTCGGCCGCACGGCTGTCATTATAGAATGACAAACAGCCACTGCACTTAATCTTGTAGGATGCTTTAATGATTTTTTTCTTATCTGTCAGAATTGGTAAATTAAGAAAAAACTCAGGAGATCGATCTAGCCTGCACAAACACTGACAGGAGACTGAACTAGATGATTCGATAATGTACATTTTGGTCGTAAATTCGAGAAAAATCGCGAGAGTCGGCACGAGACAGGACATAAAATGTAGACTCTTTGATGTTTGCCGACCGCCCAGAGAGAGAACCGCAATGTTCTAAGAGTCACCAAGGACATACAATGATTTCAAACTAGTTGTACAGATTCGAACTATTCTCTAAATACTTCTCTCTATTTGTAGACGGGTATGAGCAATTTTTCGGAAAACTCGTTTGTCAGTCGAGAATTATTCATTTGTTAATTAGCCAGGTTACAATAATTAAACAATAAAAAACTATATTTGCAAGAACTTTGTGCCGATGGTTCGCCTTAGTAACCCAGGGTTATTGCAAAAAAAATATGATTCTTAAATGATTTCGGAGGTAGAATTATTCATTTGTTAATTAGCCCGGTTGTAACAACTGAAAAATAAACAATTATATTTGCAAAAATCTTGTGCCAATGGTTCGCCTCAAGAAACCAGAGATATCGTAAAAAATTCCGGGTCTCTACTGATTTCGGACCTTGAGTTATTAATTTGTTAATTAGCGAGGTCGCAACAATCGAACAATAAACAATTATGTTTGCAAAAATCTTGTGCTGATGGTTTGCCTTAACAAGCCAGAAATGCTGGAAAAATTCTGGTTCTCTAGTGATTTCGGGGGTTGAGATATCAATTTGTTAATTAGCCAGGTTGCAACAATTAAACATAAATATTTACGTACAACCTTGTGCCGATGGTTCTTCCCCATGATCCCAGAGTTATTGCAAAATATCTGGTTTTCTAACGATTCCGGGAGTCGAGTTATTAATTTGTTAATTAGCGAGGTGGCAACAATCGAACAATAAACAATTATGTTTTGCAAAAATCTTGTGCCAATGGTTCGTCTTAACAAGCCAGAAATGATGGAAAAATTTGGTTCTCTAGTGATTTCGGGGGTTGTGTTTTTCATTTGTTAATTAGCCAAGTTACAATAATTTAGCAATAAATAATAAATCTGACACCAAAGTGATAAAGAGGAACCTAGAAACCCCTCGAGAGAACATTTTCCAGATATTTTCGTTGAACCGTGTGTGACATTTGCCACATATTCATCAACACTGTAACAAAAATGCCTCATATGTTAAATAAACAATTAGGAATTTGCGAGCAATGTAAAACTCTATCTCGTCGTTGGGTGAAAGAAGGAAAATATTCGTCAACTCAAAAAAATACACTTTACTGTGGAACACAAAATACAAATTATAACCATAAGATTATTAAAATTACGTCGCCAACAAGGGTTAAGCAAGACAGTGCTCTTCTCTCTCTGTCCCCAAGTCGACTGACCGCCCGTCGTGTGGTTCCTCGTTCCCGCTCATACCACCGTCTCGTCGTTTCACCCCGCACTCCTCACTTACCGCGCCGATCGCGAGACAAAGTACACTCCCGCTAGCACTTCGTAGTACAGCATTGGAAACAAGTAAACGTCGAGGAGCGTAAGAATAATATTAAAATAAACGAACTAAAATAGGCTTTCTACATTACCCCCCTTTTAAATCTCACAATCTGAAAGTGGGATTTAAAATTATTCATTGTTTTAACTTTGCACCGGAGGTATGTATCGTTTTAAATTATATAGATTCTGAGTTCCCAAAGACGACCCAGTTTTGTCATCTATAATTTCAAATGAATTTGGACCTTTCTTTGCAATTATAGTCCCTGGTCCGTCAAATAACAAAAATAATTTTTTTATTTCTTTTGCTTCGCTAGATGATTTCGGATGTGTCCTCACAAGAACTTTATCACCTACTTCCAACCTACTCAATTTGTGAAGTTTGCTATGGCGGCGCTGGCGCTTCTCTGCTTTTGTTAACAATTGGTCATGAGCAAGAACTATTATTTGTTCGTGGTTCAGTTCTGGATAATCCGAAGCCGGAATTTTCAATTTTTCTAGCAACGGGTTGCTTGGTTTAATACCGTAATGTAAATATTCAGGGGAGTAACAGGTACCGCTATGAATTGTCCGATTTAACCACTTTTGTACCTCGTTTAGCACCGTGGCCCATCTGGTATGACGGTCGTAACATAAAGTACGTAAAAGTCGCCCTATTTCCCTATTTGTTCTTTCTGTGGGGTTACCTTGTGGAAAATACAAAGAGGTGTGCCTAACTTTGATACCTTTCTTGTCCAGCTTGTTGACCCAAGCATCACTACAAAATTGACTGCCGTTATCTGATAGGATTATTTTTGGCTTGCCTATATTTGGGAAATACTTTTCCGTTAAAAACTTTAAAATGGCGGTGGCCGTTGCCCTTTTTAACGGGTGTAGCGAAACTAATTTACTAAAGGCATCTACACATACCAAGAGATAAGTCATTCCTCCACGTGAAGGGGGTAGTGGACCAATGAGATCCACGGTTAATACTTCATTGATACCATTAGGCACAATGGAATGCATTTCACCGAACAAATGGGGCGCGATTTTTGCTTTTTGGCATAGGTCACAACTAGATATGATTTTTCGGCAAATACGCCTCATTTTTGGAAAGAAAAAGTCTTGTTTTAATTGCATGAAGCATTTATTTGCCCCGAAATGCCCCTTTTCGGTATGTTCGTACAAAATTAAATCTTTTATCTGATTCGCCGGCACGCATAATTTTGCTCCGGGGTTAGAAATAGCACCACGCCGAAAGAGGATACCATCCTCTATTAGGAACCATTTAGTAAACCTCGGAATGTTTTCCTGAATACTACTTAAAACTCTACTACAGTAGTTATCATTTTTCTGATCGCTTTTAATGTTTTTTAAATTTACAGCGACTATTTTGGCAAATTCTGCCTGCCTCGTCGTGAATATCGAGACCACTAGTTTGTCCGGTATTTCTTTTTCATCACTATCGCCTTTCTCTGGGTATCGAGAAAGTGTGTCGGCCAAAAGATTTTCGGAGCCCTTCCTATACAAAATATCAAAATCGTATTCTTGTAAATAAATAACCCATCGCGTTAACCGTGCTGAAAGAAGTCTGCAGCACCTAAGAAAGGATAATGCCCTATGGTCACTTATTATAGTTATCTTCCGGCCCAACACCCAAACACGCCATTTTTTTAGTGCAAAAACTACCGCGGCGGCCTCTTTTTCGGTGATGGTGTATGACAACTCGGCCCTCTGCATCG